TGTTGGAAATATGTAGACAGGTGCAGACAGAACTAGCTGTAGAGACACGTATGGAAGCCTGTCGGACTAAGCCTTTCTCAGATCGAGTAGTGTTCAGTGTTGTTTAAACCAGATGGCCAGATTTGTCATATGGGTAACAGGCATGCAACTTTTCCTCGGATCAGCTGATTTCCTCATTTTTTACTTCATACTCATGCCATTGAGAATTGATGAACACTGTACCTAGTCTTGTAAAGTCCAAGTGGCATGCCTGATAACAGTAGCAAATGCATAAATATTTGACACTGTGACCTGAGATCATTACGAGCTTTTTCATTATATACTCAAATTTACCCACTTGAAATAGCATATCCTACATGCATCTTGCCTCTAATACATGGACATGTGCTTCAAATGGGCTACTTGCTGTTGTCTTCAAAATTTTGATAACAGGAGCGAAAGAATTCCCAGTTAACATGATCGACCGCATCAGTGAAGTTAAACAAATTAAAGAGATTAGAATTAATACGCAGGTATACTCTCAGCAATTTTTTCATAGCTGTTCCCGATGAGTTCTGGAAGAGCGTAGGAGGAAGATTCTGTTGTCAGCCATAAAAGAGCGTCTAACATGTTTTCCGTACACCTGGCGATGAATCGGATGAAGGGCCTAATGTCCCCAACATTTCCTTTCTTGATGGCTTCGTAGTACTCGTGTCTTTGACCGACTTTAACGATGATAGGAGGGTAGCCCGCTCGCATCAGGATCAGGTTCATCAGCAGACGGGAAGTCCTTCCGTTTCCATCCAGAAAGGGGTGGATGTAGACTAGTTTGTAGTGGGCCAGTGCTGCAAACTGCACCGGGTGCATGGCATTGGCCTCGTCTGACTTCAGCCACTCCACAAACTCCTCTAGGAGGAGTTCCACGTCCGACGGTGGAGGCGGGACATGGGAGCCCACGAAGACCTGAGTGGCCCGGATTTGACCCGCCTCCAGGGGATCCACGTGTCCCAGGACGCGCCGGTGGATCTCCAGGATGTCCCGGACTGAGATGTCCCCAAACCTTCCCATCAGGGTGTTGTTGATGTACTGTAAGGCGGAGCTCATGCCGATGATCTCGTTGTGTTCCAAGATGCTCTTCCCAGTCACCGCCATCCCCGTCTCAATGATGCTCCGCATCTGTTCCAGCGAGAGAGTGTTCCCCTCAATTGCCGTAGTGTGATAGACGTGCTGGTAGTACATCTCCTGCTGTGCACGCTGCAACGCCCGGCTGTGTGCGGGCACTTTGAGAAAATCATTTCTCTTGTTATCAATGCGCATCAGAATGGACTGGTCAATTTCCTCTACAATAATTGACGTTCTTCTCAAATTGATGAGTGCCCTGACGTGAGATGCATTATTCAAAAGCGCACAGGTGTACAGATGGTCTGCCCGTAGAATATCTTCCTCCTCCAGGAATTCGCCGTACTCATTGAGGGCATCGGCATAGTTGGGGTCCAGAGCTAGTGCATGCTGGAACAGTTTGTGTGCCTTCTCATTTTTCCCATGGACTTTAGCGACAAGGGCCTGGTGTAAGGCAGCGAGCACCTCTCCTTTTAAATCTGAAGAAAGATAAAAAGATAATGCAGTAAGAGAAAAAAGCCAATGTTGTTTGTGTCAGGGCTTTTCTGAATTAACTGTTTTATGCTAAGATGTAAAGTAGCCTTTCCGTTTAACTACATTCATGTTTCACACCAAATATACTGAATATTTGACAATCATTATACATGTCGTAAATACTCCTCAAATCAAAACAATCATCACAATTTGTTTACACTGTATGTGCATGTACGTGAACATGTGTAAAATACAATAGGCGAATGAGCAACATTAACAATTGAACCTGAGTAGTGAAATATTTTAACAATCATCACCCCCTCCCCCCAAAAAGTAAGCAGCCTTTATTTTATAAACACACTTTTACTTGCAGATTTTCCTGAAATTGCCCAAAACATGGAGGAAGGAACACCCAAAATGACCAACCAGCTAGCAACGCTGACGGAACAAAATGAAAAAATGTTCAAATGAATCGACTTTTTTTACATGTTTAAATAAACTGCATTTTAGGCCCTACATTTTATTTAAAAATGTATAGTAATTAGTATTAATATTAAGAGACAACATATTTACCTGGTCTTAGAAGTGGCTTATTCCTGACTGTTACTGGCCAATCCCTCATCCCGTGGTAGTCCATACCGGGCCAATGCTCCAGATCTCCCATCACACCAACGGCTTTCGACTCGGTGGTGGGCGGCGATAACGTTGTACCAACTTGATGAGACTGAGTTCCGCCTTCCAACACGGTCACAACTCTGGACATTGCAGAAAAAAGACAGGCGACAACGACCCCGCCAAAGACGAAGAAGATAACCGATGATTTGACGGACAAATGTTGGTTATCGTCGTTAGACATTTTGGATGACATACTGAAATATTTTTAGCCGGAATACGAAACATATTTTTCCGTGCGACCATGACTATGATGACGAAACGTCAAAACTTTGTGATGTTGTATGGTGCCCAAGACCAGATTACATATGCTTGCCTTATTACGAAGCTAGGAAAACAGGAGCCAGTCTTTTCTTCATTGATCATTTGGCTATTTTTGATTGGACGTCGTAATTTCAAGATGGCGGCGCCCATGTGGAAACCTGCGCGTGTAGCGTGCACGTGCACGTGTCACAATTATGTGTAAACTAAGTTTTTAGGAGTTTCAAATGTTTGACAGACCGTGAAATAACAAGATGGCTCTTTTTCATATGCAAAGGTAAGTTTACCTTTCAAGCTTCAGAAGTAAATGTGTTGTTAACCATACTGACCATTCTTGGCGATCTCGCGGTCGGACATATCGGAGGCGCCGTCACGCGTACGGTTGTTCCAGTTTTTTATATTGCACTCGCGTCTTGGCAAAGGGGCAACTCTCCATTCACTTTGTATTTGCATGTTTTCCTCCTTATTTGCTGCAGCACGATAAAAGTAACAGAAACCATTTCTGTTCAGTGTAGGAGATACTCATAGCGCATTAATAAATTTCGGCGGGCATAGGCATGTTACTATAACTGTATTAGGCAGTGCTAGGCCAAGTCGCTATAGTTAACACAAACATGACAAAGCCAAGGTTCAGATTCCGATTTTCCCCGTTACTGCCCGTAGGAGTAGACCGCAAAACTATGTTTCTCTCGTTGAGTTTTGAGTGTGAAATATGGATTAGCCAGCAATGCAGGTGATTCACAATAGTGCACCTCCAAGAGTTTGCAACACGTTGGCCAATCACAATGCATGAAATCTGTCGACCCAGTATGCGTGTTTAGAAAGGGTCGACAGATTTTGTGCGCTGTGATTGGCCGACGCATCGCTAACTCCCGGAGGTGCACTATTGTGAATCATCCGTATTAACTCAGTGATGTCCTGACTGCGAGAATGATGTTGTATTGTTGAGAGTGACAATGTTATTTTTGATTTTGTCATGTCTGTTTTGATTTGATTTAGGACCTACATTAAATGACATGTATTTCCCTATCTAAACTTATGCTTTAATACATAAATTTAAAGGTGTAACACAGACATAGACATGATAGGGGCATAAAGAAAAGCAATCATCCGGCAATGTCTGGAAAAACAGGGACTACGCAAAAAAGAGTAGAAAAAAAAAATTCTGTTTTGGTCCCAATGAGCATGTTCAATTTAATACTGAGTGATAATTACTTTTGCCCATTCATAGTGTCCGAAAATTTTCAGCCCATGGTCTGTAGCAATGGCATTGGCCTATGTGTACCACGTGTACACGTCATTTGGCATGTTTGATCTATTCGTACATGTACATGTGTTATGTGTGTTCAGCATTGTGGTGTTGGGCATGATTGGTTGATTCAGTGGGAAATCATTCACTTTTGCCCCTTTCAAAGCAATCTGTCACAACTGATTCAGATTTGTAGATGGAGAAAAGAGTCACATGGATGAAAGCAGGTCTTCAGAATCGATCCTGAAAAGACTCCATGAGAAAGCCAGAGCACGGGAGAGGCAGTCCGCCGACAGCTCTTACCAAAGTGGAAACAAGGAACAGCAAGGAAGGAGACCAGACGAGAATTCTGATGCCAAACAGAAGAGATTTTCAGAGAGTCAGAGGACCAGGGAAAAGTTCAAAAAGAGAGTGCGCAAAAAGTCTTTGCCTCCAGAGGTCATCCTGAAGAGGTTACATGCAAAGGCCAAGAGGCGTGAGAGGACAGCCCCACAGGTATCGGCAGACCTCTCAGGCGGCATTGCCGTGCCTTCTGGTTCAGCCTTGAAAAAATCTTCTGAAAGAGGGAAGGAGTTACCATTGGGAGTTTCGGATAATGACAAGAATGGTGACCTGTCTCCAAGCATATCCAAGAAAAGGAAGTCTGGTAGTGCGGCTGTAAGCACTGCAGGGAAAAAGAAGATCAAGAAAATGCCTCGGAAGGCTGCAAAGGAAACGGAAAGAGATTCAGGTGAATCAAGTGAGGAGAAATTGAAAACCTCCTCACAGACCTCATTTTCAATTGCGGAAAGCACTCAGAAAGACCCCAACAGAACAGAGGAACATCAGACTCACAAAGTGAAAGACTGTGAAGGACAAGCCGCTGCTATGGACAGTGCTGTTTCCAGAGTTCTTAACAAATTAGCCACAGCTAAGAACTCACAAAAGATGTCTGCAAAAAGAAGCAAGCAAAAGCGAAAGTTAAGTGGGTCATCTGGCAGCGATGTCAAAGACAAGAAGCATTCAAATTTGTCTTCCAAGAAAGTACAGACAGGGGCAAAAAAGGGTCCAAATTCATCCTTGTGGAGCAGTTCAGGTGATAACGAAAGTGCTGATGAGGAGCATGAAGATATGATACCGGAACCTGACAGGGGGTCGCCAGACCAGGAGCCCCATCCCGTGAAAGAGGATAGCATCGGTGAAGAAAGGAGCAGTGAAAATAAGATCCCAGAGGAAGTAGAATATGAAACAACCGAAGGCAGGACAGCATCGCAGAGGATGAGACAGAGGAAAGCTTGATGTTGCCAGCTGATGATGTCAGCGCAGATGTGGATGGTGAGGATGGCAGTACAGGCCAAAATAACGATGATGATGGAAAAGATTCAGAGAAGGGATTCACTGTGCTTGGAGGCGAGAGAAAGAAGAAGAAACAAAAGGTGACGATACATCTATGTATGTAATGATTTGCCATTATGTATCGTTACAATCGTACCCCACAACTCTGTTTGATTTCATTTGATTGGACTCTTTTCAAGGTGGCCAGGGTACTTCCTGATTGGTTGGCTCATCCTACTGTCATTGAGCATGATCTGAGGAAGCATAGTGTAACTGTTGAGGAGATGGAACAACTGGACTCGCGGCTGGTCAGGAGTCTACTTGATGAAGGCATAAAGAGTCTCTTTCCAGGTGAGTGAGCACCCAGCAAATTATACAGATTTGGCATTTTACAAATTGTATGTAGATTTTGATTAGGTAAATAATACCTTATTAGATGAAAGATAAGAGAAAGACACAGCCTCATGTGACTTTAAAACACTGAACGGCCTAGATGTGATTTCCCAACCAAAAAAAACAAAGGCGACTCGCCTGGATGAGATTTTGGTAAGGAATATCCAGTGTCTCATCCACACCACCAAGATCACATCTGAGCCAGAAATCTCATCCAGGAACTGAGAAAAGTCCAAAATCACATCATGAGTTAGACTTCAACAACATAATCCTGGATGTGATTTCTGGCTCGGATGTGATTTTGGATAAGCCATGCCAAAATCACCTTCTAGATTCAATATCACATTCAAACCCGAAACACCTTTACTTTTTTGTAGGGAAATCACATCTAGGTCGTTCACAGTGTAATTTTGGGTAGTATTTTTGCCCTGTTACTGTTGAACTGTTCTTTCCATATGTGACTGTTGCAGTTCAACGCCACGTCATACCAGTCATTTTGGACTCGGCCAGGCTGGGCATCCATGCAGGGGATGCGGGCTACCGGCCAAGGGACCTGTGCGTGTCGGCACCCACTGGCAGTGGGAAGACCCTGGCCTTCGCCCTGCCCATCATCCAGGTGGGATTTTTCTAACTCCCAATGTCCATTTCCTTCGTGCACTTCCGATTGAGGGCGCTCTCCACCCTCGCAGTGAGGGTTGCATCCATAGTGCATTTCACAGCTTTGTTGGTATTTATTCTATACAAAGCATAAATAAAAGCAAAAAACAAGCCAGTTTCTTCACCGTTGGTATTGGCTGGCTAGCTCAAGTCTGCAAGATTCCATGGTTTGTGGTTTGATGCGATGTTTGTCTTTGTTTTAATTTTGTGCCCTTTTTTGTACAAAATAGGCTCTATTGGACCGAGTGGTCCCGCGTATCCGTGCCCTGGTTGTCCTGCCAACCCGTGACCTGGCGCAGCAGGTCAGCAAAGTCTTCAGCTCGCTGTGCAAGGCAACCGATCTCAGACCGGCTCTGATCGGCGGCTTGAAAAAGTTTGCCCAAGAGCAGAGGATGCTGGTTCAGACAAGGTGAGAGAGACATAGACTTGAGAGACCCAAAGTGGATCTGTGATGAAGACAAAAATAAGAAAAAGAAAACCACATGTTTGGAATTGTTGTGCACCGATTTGAATTCTCCATACTAAAGACTCTGTAATGGAACTACATGCCGTTAAGTATCCAAGCACTTGGCACAATCTTCGCATGGATATGAAGACTGAACATTTCTTTAACTTTGCATTTGGTGGATAAAGCGTCAAACGTACCTCTCCATGGGAAAGTAGAATGGACAGTGTAAAAGCAGAATCCATGCTTGTCCTTTTTGCTGTCAGAATTTCGAGCCAAACACTGACTTTTTTGTGTTTCCTAAAGCACTGGGGAGACCCAGTGTGACATAGTAGTGGCTACCCCGGGCAGACTAGTGGACCACATCAACAAGACCCAGGGCTTCACACTGCAATACCTCCGATTCTTGGTAAGGTGCCACTCCCACAATATTATTTGTAACTTGTTGCCACCTGTAGTTTATGGTGGTAGGAGCTTTTTTCACGCAAAGTTAGATCTTTTTAGCTTTTTAATGCACAATTTGTATTAACATGCATACTTTGATTACATCTTGAATGCTGTTTTGATTGTATTCTTACAAAGAAGAGGGTAAAATGGCATTTAAAAAAATCACAAAATCTGTAACCACAAACTTCATTGGAATATTGATCTTCAGCAGACAGAGAAGATCTTTTCAATTAAAAAGTATTAAATATTTTACAATTTAATAATCTGACAATTCCTGGTTAAAAAACAGGTGATTGACGAGGCAGACCGCATGATGGAACAGATCTCCCAGGATTGGATCAGCCAGGTGGAGAAGTGTGCATTCACAGGGAGCAGGCCGGCACCGGGTCCTATCACTGTGGAGAGCTGCCGGAAGATCAGTCTCCCAGTGAGTTGACCTTGTCAATTTGGCTCCAATCCTGCTCTTTTTTGCCAGTTTTGTCTGCGGCCAATTCAGGCCCACGTCTTTGCTGATTGAAGTGTGTACAAGAAATAATGGAAGACTGAAGTTGGATCCAAGTTTTACTTGGAGGTACAATGTAGTTGGAGGATTTTGAGGACTGAGGTTGCAGCCTGACAAAAATGTCAATTATGACCAAGTTTAGAAAAGAAGGCATTTATTAAGTCTGAATGAGAAGTCACAAGTCACTTTTTTTCTCCATAATGTATTTAAATTTTCAGCTGCAGAAGCTGTTGTTTTCTGCGACGCTGTCCCAGAACCCCGAGAAGTTAATTCAGCTAAACTTGTTCCGGCCACGTCTCATCACGTCCGTCGTGACCAGCAAGAGCCGCCGAAGAGATACCCAGCTGGGGGAAGGCAAGATGGAAGAGAGAGGGGAGTTTGTAGGGAAATACACAACTCCAGTGGGGCTGAAGGTAATGGGCAGAGGTTATATATGCCATATAGGACTGTGTCCAAATAAGCCTTTTGTGAGTTAAATTTAAATAAAAGCTGCTACACTGATTGCAAGCTAACATAATTTGAATTCCCCAGACCAAAGACACAGTTGGTGTACCTCTTGATTCAGGGCAAGCTTTTGCATAGCAATCACCATCTCTGGAATGGACTGGTTCCTTTGTGCCCTTCTTATCCATTGAGAACAGTGTATTGATGCAAGGCGTCTCTTATGTAACTAAGCAAAAGCTTGCCCTGAATCACGAGGTATAGCAACAGAGTCTTTAGTATGGAGAATTCAAATTGGTGCGTTCACTTGAACCTAAAGAACTCAGTGTACCAGATTTTATTCAAATTCAACTCGCAAAAGGCATATTACTTGGCTACGGCTCGAAATTATGCAGGAGTTAATGGGTGTGGCTCTAGCCAGTTCCCATAGATTGTGTGTAATTTCAAACCATAGCCAAGTAACTAGGACATGGCATGTGTGAATGAGGGGTTTCTCATTAAAGACGTCACACTTCCAAAAACGTCGCACAAGCTTTCGCCTCTCCTTCTGGTTTCTATGAAAGGTAACACAGAATGACAGTTATCACTGTCTGTAACTAAGAAAGGGACATGGAAAAGGTTTACAGCTTTCACCAGAGTTTAAGAGACAGTTTTGATTTGCTACCAAAGTTACGTCAAAGTCAACGGCCGCTTTCAAGCAGTTTGGAGAGTATTTTAGCATTTTGACCGGGACTGGGTGAGATTGCTCAGCTTTTTAGCTGATTTCAGCTTGTTTTGTTTGGGATTTCAGCCTTTCTTTCTTCACTGGCTGTGTACAAAAGTATAGGAGATTTCCAGAGTTCAGCCTCTTAATGCCTTTTTTCAACTGTTTTTAGCTATTTTTATCATTGGTCAATCTCACCCCAGTGTGACGTTTTTCCACAGGAGTACTACATCCAGTGCACGCCTGGTCAGAAACCCCTGCTGGTCCTGCATCTCGTCCAGACCTTGAACCTCCGCCAGATTCTATGCTTTGCCAACACCGTGGAGGCTACCCGTCGCCTGTACCACCTTATCAAGCTAGTCGGGGGCGTGGCTGTGGCCGAGTTCTCGTCCAATCAGACGGCAGGTCAGCGCCGGCAGATCCTGAAGAAGTTCAAGGCCGGCAAGATCCAGCTGTGAGTACGTCTTTTTCTACAAGTACACACAGGGAGGCCAATTTCATAGCGCTGCTTAAGGGAAAAATTTGTGTAAACGTGAAAAAACCTTGCTTGACAAATCAGGTTACCAGCCCAAACTTCTTGTGATGTATATTGTTTTGGAATTTACCTCTCATTTGGTTAGCATGACAATCAGATAGAGTTTGAGCTGGTAACCTTTGTTTATGAAGCAAGGTTTTTGCATGCTTAAGCAAATGCTGTGCTTAAGCAGCTCTATGAAATTGCCCCCCAGGTCTTAACAGACCCACTCTGAACACCTGTTCCCCTTAAAAGTGCATTAACATGCCATTTCTTTATGAAATGAGTTCGCAAGGAATGTAAAAACAAGCGATCCTCGTTGCATTTTGTCAGGCTTATCTGCTCTGACGCCATGGCCCGCGGGATGGATGTTGAGAATGCTAAGTATGTGATCTCCTACGACATGCCACCGTACATCAAGACGTATATTCACCGCGTAGGAAGGACTGCAAGGGCAGGCAAAACGGGGGTCGCTTTCACCCTCCTGCAGCCACATGAGGTAACCCCTCCCGCTCATGTAACGCCGCAATCCCTTTCAATGCACTCTCAAACTAAACTTCACTAACCATACACAGGTCGGAGTCACGCTCCACACTTTCTGGGGCTACACCTCGGATTTCAGCCATCTGAGATGAATTTGCAACAGAGCCGTATCACCTCACAAAGATTTCCTTTCACTGATTCACAGGTTTGCTACATTACAAATACCTTTCTTGTGTGGTGACCTCATGTGGATGTGATCCCTGGTTCTAGCTCCTAGTGCCTCCAAGCAAAGATTTAAATTTTGAGGGGGCAACCAACATAGCTCTGCATACAAGTGGATCAGTTGAGCATACCATCATGTTCCAGAGACCGTAGGTTCAAATCCCCCTCAAGTCAATCTCTGAGTACATCTTTTGCCATGAATACAGTCCTGTATTTTAAATGGTTTATATTATTTCCTTCAGGAGCCTAGAGTTCTCAGGACAATCTGTCACGTTTGGATGAATCGTCTTTACAGATTTATTGATTTGTCATCGTACGTGCTCTTTTTACAGGTGCCAAAATTGCTGAAGATGCTGAAGCATGCTGGGAAGACTAACATCCAGAAGCATGGTACCGATTTGCGAGACCTGGACCACCTCGTCCCGGCCTACAAGAAAGCCCTGCAACAACTGCCTGGAGTTCTGAAGGTGGGTGGTGGTAGCAGTCCAATCAACCTTTGCCCTAATTGACTGATCTCCATCTAAAAAATCTGGATAGCTTGTTTGCCACTCCTAGTTGTACAAGTGAGTGAAGCCAAATACTGGTTCCCAAACCTTCCATTGAAATATGCAGAGGGAACCAGTCTGAACCACTCACATCAGTCCAAATATCTGTACACATCTACTGTTAATGGAATGGTTGTTATGGCAGACAGTGACCTCATTTGCTAAGAGCCAATGGCATAAAGCTCATTGGTTTAACAGTGTACATGAATATACAAGGTTTACCAAATGAAAGCTTCGGGGAAGTTGCTTACTTCTGTCAGTTGTTATTTGAACCCTAACTCGCTAGGGTGGTTTACTAGCAATCTTCCCAACCTTGCAAATCTCAACACCACATTATCAACTGTTCACATAAGCAGTTGGCTTTTGTGTAGTTGTGGTGTGCCTAATCCCACATAGAGCACAGTCAGTGTATCAGTGCAGTGTTCATCCTAACAGATTTCAACAAATCCTGGTGTTGGAGTTTGGCAGGTTTGGGATCGTTAGGGTAACAACCAAATTTACACTGATGGTATAAAAAGAAGGATGACAGGACGAGGTGACTAAAGAGAGCTGTCTGTTTTTGAATCACAGATGGAGAAATTTCACTCATTCTGACGGAAGAGAAAAATGCTGGGAATTGTCTCGGCATGTTGAAGTCGCAAGGTATCGGTCAACTGAGGCGCTATTCCATTCAAATCCTAAATACATGTGTTACCAGGTTCGGAGCTGTGAGATGAAAAAGGAAGATTTTCTTTGGACCCTTTTGTTTCGCGATAACTTTGCTCAATGACTTTTAAATCGTATGTCAGTGAGGCAAGATGAAGAGCGCCCTCTCTCTTCCAAAAGTCACAAGTATACCTAAAAAAGTTGGGAGGGGTTCAATTCTGATGTAATTATGAGAGAATTTGAAGTACGTCGTTCAAATAAGGCAAAATACATAAATCATAGCACATTTTAGCGTGAAATACATTTAATCAGGAAATGAGGGGCTGGTAACACGTGTACTAGCACAGGGAATCTCATATTCTCAGCGTTATATTCACTACAGTAAAAAAAAGTAATGATCGTCAAATACATGCACCTGGTAAGGCGCAAGAATTCTTCTCTTTTTAACATACATAGAATCAAACCGGATGCAATACTGTATACATGTATTTACCGAATACGAAACATCGATCTTAAAAAGAATCATTGCATATTGAAAAAGTCCTCATATTTTGATCACTACATTTCCATAATCCTCTGTAAAAATTGATGTGTCTCCATAATCATTTCATGCCTCATGAGGAATGAAACAGGACAGACTTGTTATGCATACATGTACTTAACACGATTTGTAAACATTATTTTGCTGTAGCACAGTGTGAACAAGTGCGGTGGTTGTGACGTATAAGATGAACCTTTTATTCTACACTTTCAAAGAGGCACAAGCTGGTATCGTTGTTGTCTTTAGAGTGCCGTAGCCTTCTGGTTTAGAGCATCAGATTCGTTGTTCGGTAGGTAAAGCCATACGTTGCGGGTTCGAATCCAGCCTGGGGTCATGGTGCTTGTGCTCTTGGGCATGGCACTCTATTACTCATTGCCTCTCTCCACCCAGGAGTAATTGGGTACCCGCGAGGGCAGAGATGGTTACTGTGGTTGATTTAGCTGCACTGCGACAAAATGGCAGCATCAAGCTGTATACTCCTCAGGGAGCTGAGATGGTATTTGGAATGTTTCATGGGCCCAGTGAGCAGGTGTAACAATAACGGAATTGCACCTTGATCGGTTTTCCAGATGAGTGTGCTATATTAATCTATATTATTATCATTAAAAGTGTGGAAGGTCACTCCACGAATACTGGACATTATTTGGCCTATTGGAGAATAGCTGTACTTCAAATCTAAAGTAATTAAATTAGGCCCCCCTCTGATCTGTAAGTTAATGGGAGTCTAATTTTAAATTTGAGTGTATGTCAACCTTTGCGCAAAGTAGGCTTACATGATGAATTGTGTGTAGAAATATATTTTATGTTGCTTGAAAAATGTGGATTACTTGACTCGTGGGATGATGGGGAAAACGTTGGGTAGTGGTTGACAATAAAACTGGTTGACAATAAAACTGTGGTTGAAAATAAAACTGGTTGACAGTAAAACTGGTTGACAATAAAACTGGTTGAC